TAGAGTGTTGTTAGTATAGAGCTAACACTTAGTTTGAGTAGAGTTTATTGTTTGGTGTTAGCAGAGCAGTCACTGAGTTTGAGTGCAGTGGTGTGTTGTAGAGCAGACACTGGCACGGAGTACAGTTTGTAGAAAGATGCTTTCATGGCAGACACTGAGTTTGGGTGCAGTTTTAGTGAGGTGTTCGTGGAACAGACTGAGTGAATGCAGGTGTTAGTGGAGCAGGTAGTGTGCAGTTTGTAGCAAGGTGATAGTGGATCAGACGGAGTGCAGTTTGTAATGAGGTGGTAGTGGAACAGACAGACTGAATGCAGTTTAGAGTGAGGTAGTGGCAGAGCAGACATTGAGTTTGAGTGCAGGTTGGAGTGAGGTAGGAGCAGAGCACACATTGAGTTTGAGTGCAGGTTGGAGTGAGGTAGTAGCAGAGCAGACACTGAGTTTGAGTGCAGGTTGGAATGAGGTAGTGGATCACACATTGAGTTTGAGTGCAGTTTGGAGTGAGGTAGTAGCAGAGCAGACATTGAGTTTAGGTTGGAGTGAGGTAGCAACAGAGCACACTGAGTTTGAGTGCAGTTTGGAGTGAAGTAGCAACAGAGCACACAGTGAGTTTGAGTGCAGTTTGTTAGAACCATTTCTTAGTAAAGCAGTTTGTGTTAGTGATAATGACACCCATGTGTATGAGTCACTGTTCTTCCTGCATGTGGTTTGGCTGCTATTAGATCCTGTGACTAGCAGCCATGAGAGGGCAGGGAGGGGCTGGGCAGATTCACAAATTCCTACAGCATATCCCTGCTCTGTGCTTCACTTACAGATGGCTATGTGGTTAGTGATACCTCTGTATGCATTAGTATCTCAGGTTTGCAAAGTATTTCAAAGCAGCTTCCAGGTTACCCACACCAGGTGTTACAACTGCACAACCAGAAAACAAGACTGAAGGTGTTAACCACTCAAAGGCATCACTACCTTACATGTAACACCTTTGTGGAACTCTTTAACCCACTTCCACTCATACAGCAATATAAGTTATTACAAACTGTGCATTCCATAATCAGTGAACTCAACAATGAACATAGATAATGTATTCAAGCATACAACAAGCGTAACATAACTGTAAAAACAATCAGGCTCTGTATGTGCATTTCTCGTCTCATTATCTGTTGTTTGATGTTGATACCCACTGAGATATCTTACCAATACTAGTATAGAAAAAGTAGATCAGATTTCATGGAAGGATTTTCTTAAAGATGGAGTGAGTTTTTTTGGTTTTTTTTCTAATTTGTATAATTTTTAAATAGGTTGTTTATTCCTCCATAACACAACACAATTGTCTTACATCATCATGTCTAACTGGTATAGCCAGGACTTTATAATAATGTACACTTATATGATATAATTACATGTTACTTTAGTATAGTATTACATGGTATTAATGATAACTATATTTTTATTGAGCTTCACAATTTTATTCTTCTTTCTTTATTTTTTGTGTGGAGTTTCATCATTTATCACTTTCTGCGGTATCTGTAGAGTGCCTGCTTTCTTGGTCTGCGAGAGTACTGGTATTTTAAAATCTTATTTGGTGCATAAGGGCGCAATCTATTATACCGGTCGAGAAAGATATTTTCAATAATATCTTTATGTCCTCACTTGTTATTATATATCTCATATATAAAAATAGTTATGCCTCCGGTGACCCTTGCTCCAATTTCGGCTAATTGGGAAAGCACAGTAAGTTATTTTCTAACAATTTGTATCGATTGTTTTCAATAAATATTGTTTTAATGTTCTGTGGTGTTAGCTTGAGAAAGACCTCAGTTGGAGGTTGAAACGTTGCTGCTTGTATTATGCACTGCTCTTCATTAAATCTTCATTATGAGTCACCCCTGAGTGCCTGGACCAATTCTGTTATTCAATAACTTATAAATCATCACCACCAGGATTCGGTCCATAAACTCCAAACCCACTACATTCTTTTGGATTCACAATTTCCCTGAGATCAACTGCTCAAGATATGTGCTGGTCACTCTCTATCATATTTTGGCATTATACTGTTTCCCATTTTGTTTTTTGTCCTCTCCCATGTTACGTATATATGCCACATGTCACATGTTTGAGATTGGAAGAGGATGGGACTGGCAGGTGGCATCACTGGTGGCATGCCTACCCAGCCATGAAGGGCATGTGCCACCCTGGTTCACATGAGCATACAGGGCGGTCCATGTTGTAGGTGCTTCTCAAATGCTCAGGTATTTCATCCCAAGTGCATGGTTAGCACATTTAAACATGGGCTTTCACTGCATTTTGCATCAGTCCTATCATATAAGTTAAATAAGCCAAACCTTTCAACGTTAAATAATTATGGAAAAAATTGCAAAAATGGCTTACAGTAAAAATTAATTAAGATAAAGTCTCAACCTTGTCTCAACCTCCCTCCCGAGTGGAGCGGAATGCGCATGCGCAGCAAGAGCCACGCGCATTCAAACAGTCCATAGGAAAGCATTTCTCAATGCTTTCCTATGGACGTACTGCACATTGGATGCGAATTTCGCATCCAGCGTCGCAGATGCACCTCTAGCGGCTGTCAGGAAGACAGCCACTATAGGTTTGATTAATTCTCTGAAACTGCTATGTTTACTTGTGAAGGGTTAAAACCTGAGGGACCTGGCACCCAGACCACTTCATTGAGCTGAAGTGGTCTGGGTGACTATAGTGTCCCTTTAAATAGTAAAAAAAAATGTACAGAGGACAGTTCAGTAGGTTTTTACTTGACTCGGTTCCATATTTCACCTCAGGAAACATGGCAAAACTTTATGAACAAAAAATAAACTTTGCGAATGATCTTTTTATCATTTTGGAACATAATCTTGTTTATCTCTCCAACATGTAAACCTTTAATGTTTTTAGATGTCCTAGTTCACATTATATGACACAGCAGTGTCCCAGGGTGTGTGCAGTGCATGTAATAGCCGTTTGTCATACAGCATTGTACTTTCTGTTCTATGCCTGACTCAGCTTCACCCCCCTCACCCCCCCCACCCCCAAAGTAGAGATGCCAAAGCAGTTTGTTCTGGTTTGTGTCTATTCACAATATTCTTTTGGCAAGTCATTAGGTGTCCTATCAGATGTGTCCCTGTTTTGTGTCTTGAGTTGCTGTAATGATTCTAGAGTTTAGGGTTGGTGTTTATTAATCTCCAGGATGCCTGGAGTTTTCTCCCATGCACTGAGGTATCTCTCTTTCTCCTTTGGAATTTCACCTGAGGGACCTCATCAAACTATCACAGCAGAAGTACAGAGAGCCCTGCAGAGTATATCAGAATCATCACAGGCAGTGTGTCATAAAAAACTCTGGCCTGGGGTTATTTAATGATTAGGTGGCAGGGGCATGGAAACAACTGACCATTCAAGTCCAATGGAGTGCTCCAGAGATAAACCTAGGGTAATGAATGTTCTTTTATTTGCCAAAGGGGGGCTCGGTATTAAGGCCAAATTGCTGGAGAACCCCTAGGCCTATGTGTGGAGGAACAGGGGACAAGATATGTCCATGTACTTTAAGATATGATCGGTATACAGCAGGTGCACATGCACTTAAAGGGAATCTTTCTGAACATAGAATACTCAATTACCATATGTGTATATTTTGACAAAAATCACATAAATGAAAAAAACAGCAGTGTAACCTACGAAGTAGAACAATACAACACACAAGAAAATACAGGCTTGCAGTTTTTTAGGAAATTGATGGACTTAGTGAATGAGAATGTGAGAGGCAGTTTGGTAATGTGTGGCAACACTAATTTTGTTATGGATGGAGAATTGGATAACGCTAGGAAAGAACGTGATCAACAGCATAGAGGGGACAGTGACAGATTAGCGTACAAATGCTCCAGGTACATGATTGAATGTGGCTTATATGACTCCTGGAGACTGATGCATGAGAATGAAAGAGATTTTACTTATTATTCTGTCTCTAAAAATACGTATTCCAGGCTGGACTGGTTTATGGTCCAGGGTGCTTTAATCCCGCACATCTTGAAATCTGATATCTTAGACATCAACTGGTCCGACCATGCTCCAATCATGATGCATATTGACGAAATCTTTTCATCAGCCCCAAACAGAACCTGGAAATTAGGTGATTATTTGTTAAATGATGTTGTAAACAGGTCATTGACAGAGAAAGTTTTGAGTGATTATTTTTTGGAAAATGCCTCACCCGAGGTTCCTGGTGAGGTTACTTGGAATGCGCATGAGGCTGTGTTAAGAGGTCATTTTATTTCTAGAGCATCTTACCTGAAGAGAATTATTAGCAATAAGTTAAAAACATTGGAAAAAGAATTGTACAATTTGAACCACGCTAATAAATTTGGTCCATCGTCCTCCCTATCATCAATGATAGGAGAAATTAAGGCTATCATCAATGATAGGAGAAATTAAGGCTAACATTAACAAAATTTATTTAGATCGTACATCTCTCATGGTGAGACGTCTCAGGAAAGCATTTTACTTAAAAGGCAACAGGGCCTCAACTCTTTTGGCATCCAAACTCCAGCACGTGAATGCCCAATCAAAAATAGCATATTTACTTGATGATCAGGGGCGAAAAGGGTTTCATCCAACAAAAATTATTGATATGTTTGCAGAGTATTATAGCAAACTTTATCATTTAGAATGTAATTCGGACCTTTCCCAGCCTTCTGCAACAATAATTGATAAATTCTTAGACAGAGTGACATTGCCTCGGCTGTCTCCAGGACATTTAGAAAGCTTAGAATGTGAAATATCAGCAGAAGAGATAGCTGAGGCGATCAAACTTATGCCCCTGTTAAAGCCCCTGGTCCCGATGGATTCACTATTTAAGTGTTCTTGCATAGCAAGACCACTTAATGTTATCTCACATATA